AGGTTTTGTACTGAATTCTGGAAGTTCACGATTTATATTTGATTAACTTTTGGCAAGTTTCACCATTTCCCTAAAGCCCAGGTTATTAAATCCGGTGGACTTAGGATGGCAACTCTCTCTACGTGTCTACCCTTGGCATCTGAGTCCTTCCCATTGCTCTCATCTGAGCATCTCAGTTCTCAGGAAGCACAGATTCTTGAAGGCCTCTGAAGACACTGAAAAAGGAGGAGAGATACTCAGCAGAACTGGAATATCCATAGATGATTTTAATTTCAATTACAATTTAATACCACAAACAATTTCTTTGTTCTCATTCTTTATTTATTTTTTTTTTTTTTTGGTTTTTCTCCGGTACCCGGAACCGAACTCAGGACCTTGCGCTTGCCAGGCAGGCGCTTTTGCCGCTGAGCTAAATCCCCAGCCCCTGTTCTCATTCTTTAATAACACATTATTTGAAAAACAAAAGAAATATTTTCCACCTAATGGACTCATGAGCCTACTTGTTTCCACTCAAAGCCTAGGTATTCAGTTATATTTCATGTTACCTGTGCTACTTGCAGGTTAAAATGAAAGGCAATGAATAAAGTTACAATGCTGTTTGAGAGAAATACTAATTAAGAAATTTTAGTTCTTAATAAAATTTAACCAAAGTAATGCATTTTAATTGGGAAATTTATTTACAATGAACAAAGGAATTCATTATTAGTGAAGCATAATGTCTCAAGTGCTACCAGTTTTGGGTCCTATCAGTTAAGCAAACTTCCTGTAAACATTAAAAAAAACCTTCAAAGAAATCGTTGCTGCTGTAGGTATAATTCACGATATTAATGTTGAATAGCAATATATATCTAAGCAGTGCAGTTTCCCACATACTATGCAAATATTTGAAACAAATTGGTTTCAAACTAAATACTCTTCTAAGAGACAAAATTTAGTTTATCAAATTATTTACTTAATTGGGCCCAGTTTTCTGATGTCTCTGTTCACATTATTGAATGAGCCTCTTCCAGTTCGAAAAGGCAGCAAATTTATTTATTTGGAAGACATTGAAAAGTTCCATCTGATGATCAGTTATTGTCAATGAAATAAGAAAATACCTATCAGACCTGACAGGATTTTGAAAATTTTGTCAGCTTTAATGTACTCTACTATGTTAACAGGCACAATTAAAATTCTCTTTTACTATAGTGCAAAGTAAAATGGTAATTTTCATGCCTTCTTCTCCTTCACACATGTACACTGAAGAAGAATGAAGGACACTTCTCGCATAATTATGATTCTGCAACAAGAATTGACCCTGTGTTTCCACTGGTGGGATCTTAGCCTACGGACACCCCACCATACATTTATAAGCTTGTTTAATGCATTCTTGGTGTTGTAGACAAAATTTAAAAACAAATTAAGTATCAAAATTAATTTCCCTTCCTTATTAAGTATCAAAATTAATTAATGTTAGATCTAGGAACAGAAATTTTGCTAAGATGGAAAACCTTATGGAATTTCACTAATTGAGGAATATAAACTGAAAGTATCTACTGCTTGAAGGAGATTGCAGATCCGTTTATACGAATAAAAGTGATTTGAAAAGTTCTCACACAGATATGCAAGGCCTGCCTCTCCCTTGGCATGCACACATGGAACTCTACCGAAAGCTCTGCAGTCAGCAGTGGTGTCCAGGCTGCCATGGGCTGCCCCTGGTGAGACAGGGAGACCCACAAGCTTCTCTGAAGTTTAGTAAAGTACTTCATAACATTGATGCCATGCTCTGGTTTGAAGCATGTGTAACTTTTATAACAATGTCAGAGAAAGAGAGAAAAAGAAATTGAATTAGAAGATAATTTATAGGCACAAAATCCTCAAATAAAATTTTATTTTCCTTAAATTTTATAAATAAAATTCAATAAAAACTAAAAATGTACTAATTTACTAGGCATAGAAAATGATAACAGCATACTGGCAAAAACTTGCATTATACTACTAGATACAGAAATAGTAATTGGTAAAGATTAGCCCCTATTTCTGTGAAAAATAAAACTTTGTAAAAAATAGTGATGGAGGGGTACACAATTATTGTGGTAGCACAGAATTGCAAGTAATATACATTATAAGGTTATTCTGTAGGATGCAGACAAAAGGAATCAAAATTTATATTTAACAAAATAAACATGTAAAGATTTATACTATAAGACTTTTTATATGAAAATAACACAGACATAAACAACAATAGTGTATGTTTTCCAGGCTGTATCTGCACTTATACATCAAGTGACCTGAAGGACATTAGGTACATACATTAAAGAAGACCCAGAATAACACAGAGGACAGAATTTAAAGGAGGCCAAAAATAAACCCAACTCTGGAGGTTTTCCTTGACCAAAGACGTTATAAAGTAATAAACTGACAAATGTGATCAGAGATTCTCTGTACTATTCTGAAATAAATACAGTAATAAAGTGGCATACATCCTATCACCAGCATAGTGTGTCCAACACAACCCATGCCATCTGGATTTGGGACTAGGGCTAGAAGGGTGGAGATGGTAGCATAGGCGGCCATGGCGAAGCTTTGAGACCTTTCCCCAGTCTGCTTCTGCTCCCATGCTACAGGCAGTCATCATGGGCTAAGAATGCCTTGAACTAAGGTCTAGATTCCCATTGTACTACTTGCTGTTTTTCTCAACCTCAAGACAATCACTTCGCCATTCTACATTTTGTTGCCTTAATTTTCAAAAGACAATAATATTTAGTTCCCTGGGTTTTTTTATGCCTGAGGAAGAATATATAAGTGCCCAGAAAGGAGGAGGCATTTTAACAAATATATCTTCTTTTCTTCTCAACCCCAAAACAACTCCTCACCCCCTCACCATGGACAGAAGCCTTAGGAAATACGGAAGTACTCCTGTAAATACTCACACCCTTTACAGTCACTGATGTTTTCAAGGCATCTTCCATTCTTCAGTCCTAGCTCCACATGCCTTTAGTCTTAGCTCTATATCATAGGGCCAATAAAAAAATAAAAAATATACTATGTGAAGAATTATATATGAACTTTGTTTTATAAGAAACTATTAGTGCTGTCATAAAAACCTGATAAATGTTGAAAGAATTTCATTTTAGCCTTGCACACTCAGTGCATACATTATCATTGATGTATTTTTTATAATTAATGATGGTGCTGCTCTTTTCTTCCATAATTGGTACATTTATTGAGAAATTCCCCACTGGTTGACTGATGTGTTTCATCCTCTATACTTTTTCCCTGCTGTTTCTCTACACTTATGAAGCTCAAAATTTATAGAGCCTATGTTTTTCTTGCTGTTGTTTCATATCCCTATTTTCTGTCTGTCAGTAGGATCAGGAGATGAGGCTTCCATTTTGGGATGGGTTTCTATGTGGAAGTTCAGGGACAGGCCTCCCAGAACACCTACTTAGGTTGTGATGCTGTTCAGAGATCCCAACAAAGGCATGTCTCAAAGAGGCCTCAGTGTTGTGAAGCGTGGACTGCATAAGGTAGTTGAAGTCATCTCTTAACTTTGTGAAGACAGTTCAAAGTTCATGAGGTTTATAAAAATAGGTTTAAGTTCAAGTTCTGACAGTCTGTGGCAGTTAACCATTCAGAATCTTGTCGGGACTCTGGTGACTATCATGGATTTGACATGTGCCATCGAGAATAAACCAAGGTTCTTCTCATCTAGTTCAGTAAATCACTACCAAGAAGCAGGAAGAATGAAGATCCGGCTGGTGGGAGGGTGACTGTCACCGCCACACATGCTGTACAGTGTGCCTTAGGATATGCAGGTGTTGGGCAAACACTTCTGGAGAATTTGTTTTCTCTTTCCATGCATCATGGGGATATGTGCTACTCATCTACAGACTTCAATAGAAATAATAATCATTCAAAAAGTCTTCAAACTGAGCGACAGGTATTTAATTTAAAAGTTCGCTGCCCATTTGGAGAATCAGTACTTCCTTCTAACAAGAGATATCAAAACATGGTGGTGACATTAGTAACTTAGGGATCTTCAATCATTTGTCTTTAAAACGTGACTGGAAAAAGTAAGATTGCATTTTGCTATCGTACACTGAGTTCTTTTGCAGTGTTTTTCTTTGGGCAGCTTTTTACTTTGCACCAAGGGTGGGCAGGAGGAATAGAGCCACCAAACTGCTCTGTTTGCTTAGATGGAATGAGTGACTTGCCAGCTATCTGGATTTCACTTTCCCTGTTGCGTGGTTGTCTGGCTGATTTTGTTATCTCTTTGCTGCTTAGATTTTTAGATGTCTTTCCTTGTAAACGTGAGTGTGGATGAAAGTAGCGTACTTTGAAGCCGGCTGTCTTGCTTTTGTCAGAGTGATGGATGACTTTTCATCCCATTGTTCTAAGTTCCTTTTCATCACCCTTGTTATACCTTGTTGCTGGAAGTAACTGTATATGACAAAAATGTCACATTTGATTTTTAACCCGTCGTGGTGGTTCTGGATTTTGCGGTGAAGAATCAGCACCCTGAGAAGGAGAGGCCTTCAGGAGGCCACTGCAATTGCTCAGTGGTAGATGTGTCCAGAACCCAGAGGTCTCACTGCTATTTTTATCTCCCTACACCACACACTCTTTGCTCTACTCCCAACTTGTAGAGGGCTGTTTGTGCAGATCCTAACAACAAGCCTTTGCTCTGCACCAGCCTCACTTTCTGGCTGAAGACTTCAAGTGTTTGACATTGCACCCGACAGAGTAATTTCTCCTGTGACTGCTCAGATGACATCTTGTGAATACTGCTTGATGCCTCCCCACAATCACCTTGAAAGGACTGTCACTATCTGGGGATCCACACAGACAGAGTGTTCCTTTGAAATATACCTGAAAATGTCATTCTCGCTGTTAATGACAACTGCCAGACGTCCTAGCAGAGCTATAATTGCTAATTATAACGTCAACCCGATCCTGTGTCTCTGCACTGTGATGCTGCTCATGTGCGCTGATCTGTCGATTCTGCTTTGCTGTTCTAGGCTTGTGTGCTGGAAAGGCAAATATTCGACTTCCTCGGATACCAGTGGGCACCCATCCTCGCAAATTTTGTACATATTATTATCGTCATTCTTGGTTTATTTGGAACTATTCAGTACAGACCTCGTTACATAACAGGAGTAAGTATGATTTCTGCCTTTTTCTAACTTGCTGACATGATGGACGGTGTTGCAAATAGAAATGCCTGCAAGAGCAGCACATGCACCCTCGCTCAGCGATGTGCAAACCCTCTCTTCAACCTGCATGCTTATTCTCAGTTTCAGATGGCATTAACAGGAACTGAAAACGTCAGGTTTAAAGCCTTTGATTGTGAATGCAATCAGATTGTATTTCCATTAACTGAAATTTTGGCAAATATTCACCTATAAGTACAAACAGATGCCTGACCCTGTGTTTCTAAACTATAAAGTTCTAGTCCCTGAATTAACAGATTTTAGTGGTAAGTTTTTCCCATTTTAAATCATTTCATTTTATAAATTGGAGAAAATAATGTAGAATCAATGCAGACTAACACACAATTAATGTGAAAATATTAATATATTAGGATTAATATTTGAAACATTCCAAAGCCAGAATATTCTGGACCATTGTCTCTGCATTCTCCGTAATTATCTTTTTGGCTCAGAGGAAGTATTTTGCATTTCCACTCAAGTTAAACTTACTTAACATAAAAGTGAGATCCAACTGTGTCACAGTTGCTATGGAAACTATAATTTCGGCTTTGTTTTATTTTTTAACTTTCCTGTGTGCCCCAGCTCTCGGCTCTCCTTCATTAATGTAGATTTCTTCTTTAGTTTCATTTTCCCCCACCCCCATTTCTTCTGTCTTTGACAAGGGAAATGTCTCTAGGCATTTCTCTGAAGTCATAAAGTGAGAGAGTGGTAAGCACATACACAGACATTAGTACAGCTACAGGTCTGCTGCACCAACACCAATCTGCAGGCCTCCCTAGTTGCAGGAAGAGTGCCCTCCTGGACCTGCCGCTCCGCCTTCTGATGGAGCACAGAAGTTGCATTGGTACTGAGGCCCCAGCGGGTGACCTACCTGGTGAAGGTGTGAGACAACATCGTCTTCTCCTCCAGGACTGTGCCCAGAGCCCAGCCCACACGGTCACCACTCAAGCTACATGGCTACCTCAGTCTTGTAGTAAATGGCCCTGTTCTGTTGCAAGGGCATGTGGTCTATGACAGAGGTGATGACAACATCACACCGTTTCTTATATAAACTGTAGTTTGGTCTGGTGTGGGAGGGACAGCACCCTGACGGCTGTGAGTCAGCCGAAGTCAAGATGTCAGTGCTGAGATCTTAGATCTGCCAAATTCTCTGTGATCATGAACCGCTCTACCTCACCTACCTTCAGCTTCATTATCTTTATATACAAAGTAATAATTATATTAAATCATAATTGTTTCATTAGTTGATGGATTATTTTAAAATTCTTAATTTTCCTCTCACTGAACTTTGTGCCCCCTTCGTTATTTTATTTGTATCATAATACTGCCCTGAGTTTCATGACATAAATACAACTCATCTATATGTCTGTTGAGGTGATTTGTATAAAAATCTAGACATGGATCAAAATGTTGAATGCTTCAAAAATTCAGAACTTTCTATAGAGGAATAACTGAGGTAGTTCATGAAATGTCCTTGTTGCAATGCCTAGTGATTAAGGAGTGTTCAGTACATGTTAGTGATGATATTTTTCTTACTATCATTTGAAAGTAATACTAAAATGCCTAGTATAATAATAGACTGGAAGGAAACAGAAAACAAAGCCAGGTGTTCCTGATATGACAGTGGTTGAACTATTTCTTTCCCTTTTGTTACAAGGTGGTACGACCCCTAAAGCATCATAAGATTTCCACTTATTAAATTACAATCTCTTTCTTGTAGATGAAAGATTTACTTATAGATCTGCATAGTACTGGCAGATTCCATTGTGCAGCATAAGAGTTGAAAAAGAGGTACTAAGGCCATTAAGGTGCTAGAATTTTGATCTAACCACATCTACTGGACACAACCGGAAACCCTTTTGAGCTTGTGCAGGAAAGACGATAGGGAGCTACACTAGTGATTGGACCTTTTCTTGTAGAAGGCACCCTTAGTTTGATTTTTTCCCAAGACAGTGCCTTAGTCTGAGAAACATTTGCTAGCTCAAGATCCTCTGAAACTCCTACAGTCCACCTTGCAAGGCATATGTTGGAAACATAGCCTCTACTTTCTACTTGAAAATTAATTCTTTAGGTTCATTCTATGAAAATACAAAGCTATATGTGGGTAAAGGATGATTGCGAGCTCTGTCAAATGATTGCTTAGAAATTATCTTAACCAGATCATGCAATTCATAAGCACATTGTCTGTCTTCCCAATTATTGTAAACTGTAGCCAAGGTAACTGTTTTGACTGATGACCATGAAACCCCCAGTAGTGCTCCAAAAACATTTCCTTCCTGCCCTTCCTAATTCTCCCCCTCTTCCCACTGGCGGTCTCCTTTCTGGCCTTCTGGGCTCAACCTGACAGCTTTTCTCGAAGTCAGCACTGCATCTTTGAGGTTTGTTTTGTGGTATCACTCACTTCCTTGTAGTGAAATTTTGTTCTCTCTACTTTTGTGTAATTTACATGATGGAAGGCCAAAAGTGAATTCAGAAAAATATGGACTTAGCCATAAAAATGGAACACAGAATTTCAATTTGCCCAAAGATGACAAAAGGAATTAGAGGTAAATAAATTCTAAATGAAATAAAAAATGCGAGAAATTCTGCTCCATGCAAGATCTTGGTGTGAAAGAAAAAAGCAAGATTCGGGGGCACACTGGAGCTGACAATACGGTATTTATTGCTGCACTCAAGAAATTTCTGCGGGCTCTGTGCACCGGAGATTTAGATATTAGCAATGAAGTTAATTTTTCTCTCCATTAAAATATAGAACTTTATGACTTCTGTATTAGATATTTTTCTCTTTTTATAAAATACATAATGCAGCATAAAAATAAGCACTTTCCTAATTTCATGACTGAAAGTCATTAATATTTTGCAGATTTCCTATATTTTGTGGAGATGTAACATGTTGGATAATACTTAATATCTCCTATGTATAACACATTTTATTTAAAAATATAAGGGAATTTAGAAATAATATGAGTATTCCACTGTCCATTTAACACTTTACCTGTGTTGTACATTATATATTTCCATTCTTTATTATTACAAATTATTCCCTAAAATAATCTCCATAAAACACGTTCACCTTCGTGTGTGGATCACGCCTTATGAGAAACATTGGATATAAAAATAAAACAAATGATTTTAACGTCCTTACTATGTCATTTACAGTCACCCACCTGGGATTATTCTTCCACAGTGACAATGTACTTTTCCTGACCCTGAATTCTATCTGTGTGCAAAATAAATTCTCATCTTTGACTCAAATTGAATTTCTTATCTCAGGTCAGGTGGACTTTTGCTTATTATCCATTTTGTTTTCCTTTTGATAAAATCTTTTTCAGGTGTTCCTCATTTTTCTCCAAGAGTCTTAGTGTTTTTCCTATCTATCTGTCTATCTGTCTATCTGTCTATCTGTCTATCTATCTATCTATCTATCTATCTATCATCTCTCTATCTGAGTACTGCAAAATACAATAATGGGTGGTGTATAACATGCTTACATGTTATTAACATATTATATAACACATGATATAATGATATATAAATACAAAATAGATAAAGTTCATTACTAAGATGTCATAAAAATAGAGCTGACAGTATATAAAAATAATAGTAGTATTTATGAGGGTCATATTTTTCTTAAAATGAAAATAGATATTATGTATAATATAATAAAGATATTGTAATTTAAAATATAATGTTTCATTTTGATGTTCATTACCTTCACCTGATTAAGATTAATTCCTTTCACCTTTGTATCTTCTATTGCTTTTGAAATTTTAAAGATTAAATACCATTTTGCAAAAGATAATATTAGGGCTTCAATATCTTTTGATCTAGTTTCACTGAGTGAAAAGGCTTATGCCTTCAAAAAGAGTCTAAGGACAAAGAATTCTTTTTTTTTTTTTTTTACTTTTTCTATTGATAAAGTATTGCAAACTATTTATGGGTATTTTATTATATTTAATTAAAATATTCTCCCTTAAAATTGACATTCTCTAAAATTTTAAGCATAGCACCAACAAAAATAATTGAGGAAGTATTGGCAATGAATTTTTTTCTGCACTAATTTTTCTTTTCATAGTAACAAAGAATTATAATTTCTAAATTTATAATAATTAGTTGTAATAAAATTCACTGATAAAGTTTTAGGGCCTCAAATACTTGAGAGTCTAATACGTCCAAGGAAAATGAAATAATCATTTCAATTCTAAGCAAAGAAAATCTGAAACCAGAATCCATAGAAAGAATCCATGTTGTTTAATTTTTCACCGTATTAAATTCAAAGAAAAAAAAAGAAAAAGTCAACTTGGCTGGACCAACTTGTAAATGACTATGTTTATATGAATGGTTTTGTTGAAAGTATTCCTTTATATTAAGAAATGGAATGCCCTCACATCTTCATTTGGGCTAAAGACACTGGCAAGGAGAACGGGAATTGTGATGTCCAGTATTGATCATTTAATGAGAAGATTGTTAATGGATTGCTTTCTGCTGTATCACGTGATACTAGGAGCACGTGGGTTCTGGCCTGCTTTTCAGGATGGTGGCGTACCACCTCTTTTGTACTGCCAAAGGAAAGGAACTCAAAGAATCGCCTTCTCTTTTTCTCCTTTTTTCCATGCAAAAAACACTACTTCAAAAAGTAGAAGTAAATTCTAAACATCTATTACTCAAACACCATAAAAATGGAGCATACCAAAATGACAGTAATAATTATGACAATCATATTTTTCTTACCAATTATATTACCTACTCTCTTGTATGGTCTTCTTTTACAATTCCTACAGGCCTCACATTAACCTTGTAGAACATTTGTCCCGATTCCTATGACTAGGAAATAGCAGATATAAGCTCTTGCCCAATTATCTCCTGACTTACAACAATCCTCATAGGGAATTGCTTCTTAAAGCCTGGGTTCAGAGTTACCATCTAGCTGATGAGTGAAAATAGAC